CATAAAACTATGATTTATTTCTTAAAATGTAGATTGCGTTAAAAAAAAATATCGTGGATAAAATGTTAAAGGACGAGAGATGGTCTAAAAAGGTTAAAAGACACCGAGAGAAGTATCCAGATGATCCAATTAATATTCCCTTTGATACACCGTCTCCTCAGGTAATTAATTTACGGAGATGGGATAAATAAAATTGATTTTGTAATAACAACAGTTTAATCTTACCGATAATATAATAAAGTGCTGGATCCCATACGACGACGAACGCCCTTGGCATTGCCAGGTACATAGAGATGCCTTTTCATATGGTGGAACGTCACTAGCGGTTGATAACCGTTTAGTTGTAGACTTTCGTTATTTTGGTAAATCTGAACCGAATGAAGAAAATAAAGTAGTGTTCAGCGACAAATACAAGGATATGTACGGCATGCCACAACCAACATTTATAGTCACACCTTCCAAAAAGGATGCTGAAACAAACCACAACATGCTCAGTGACATGACTAAGGCAGCTCTTTGTTTGGGAGGTTTTTTACCTGATAGCGGGCCTCAGTTCATGGCGCCCGGAACTGCACTGCATATCACGGTTAGAATTTCATAATATTAAGCCAACGAGAGCTTATAATATTTTTTTTATTAAAATTATTTTTTCATATTCAGGGAACTGTACGCATGGGTACTGACAAAGAAGAATCCGTGGTAAACACAAACCTTTGTGTTCATGATTTCCGCAATCTATATATTGGTTCCAATGGCGTCATACCGACAGGTAAGAAATTTCGGAGAGTAAATTACACACCCCTACAATATATTACCGGAAATCCTAAAAACGAATCTGCCACTTTGAAATCCAATAACTCAAAATTCAATGATCCAATTTAAATGAAAATACTCCATTAAATTTGTCGCGACTCCACGAATCTTATGATAATATCTTTATTTAAATGAGATCACTAGATTACAAGAAATTGGGTTCCAAAATGATAGTTTCATTTTTGAAATTTCCGGTAATATATTGTGGGGGTGTGTATATCTTTACACATGCTAATCTATTTGTTCAAACATCTTTTGCGTGAATTTATTTTGTACAAACAGCGATTGCGTGCAACCCAACACTGACAAGTATTGCCCTGGCAATCAAGTCAGCAGATCATATTATCGAACAATTACAAAACGGAATACATGTTTAATAAGTTTTATTAAATTTAACTAAACCAGTTTTTTAGTATATAATAATCATTACATATAACAGACATTTTTGCATATGAACTTTAATTTAATCAGATTGTAACTTTACAGATATATAGTATATACAAATAATATATATAACTTTTTTATTTCTCATTATTTTAATAAATGAAGATGTATAAATAAAATTAATGAAATTCAATTATCGCTATGATATTCACGCTGCAAAAATTGTTCTATGCATTTTTTTATTTTTAAATGACAAGTATCATTTTGTAAAGAGAATATGAATGCAAGATAAAATAATAAAACTAATTAAAATTATTGAAAATAAAAAATTGGAGGCGGAACAATGATAAACTCTGATTTTTGATATTGACATTGAAAAGAATAAATTCTTTTAACATCATTGGATCAGAAAGTCCAATTTGCCTATTAACGATGAAAATACATGTATTTTAAATAAATTTTTACTCAGCCATTTGTGGTACTCGATCTTTAGTACTTTGATGCCATTTTAAAGCTAATTCGAGACTTTTAAAAACCTATTTCATCTCGTTAATGTTTACTGCTGTATTGAGCTTCTACTGTTCATTATAATGATGATTTGAAATCCTGAGAAACACTCGAACGTTCATAAGCCCAAATGTTCGAAGTCCCAAATCGGCATCCCGAATACTCAAAATCGAAGTTCCTAAAGTATAGTACTGTACATGCATCCCAAATGCATAGAATACTAAATTATCACGATTTCGAGATTCGATCGTTCGGGCTTATGAACGTTTGGGATTGTGTTCTTCCGAATTTCGTACCAGATCCTTTCATTAACAACGTTTAAAGGTTTATTTCCCTTCCCAATATTCATAACATTGTCCAAATCAAAATCACAAAAGAAAATTATCACTATCATATTTTTGTCATCCCTAAAAGAATATTGAATAAAAACTTTTCTTCACATTTATTTTTAACGCTTTTTTCTTAACTAAATACAGTCATATCTTGATCTAACGATATTGGCCAATATCAAACAAAATAAATTTCATGCTTAGCATTGATAAAAAGTTCAATTTACCGAAAATTAATAATATTCTTGCAATTTATTTAACATTTACCGAGAAAATTATTATCACCAACTATCTAATAGTATTGCTGTTTGAATTATATGCATCAATTTTTTTAATATTTTATATAGCATTTCACAAACCTAAAAATCAAAATGCATTCAACTTTGAAGTTTGATATGTAAATTTTTTTCTCGCAATATAGATCGCTGGGGATAAAAAGAAAGTTTTCTCATGCAAAATTTATGCGCTTGCACTTTAAAATCATGTGCAATGACCAATTATTTCATTCTCGCGAATTAGTGATACATGTATCACGATTACTTAAAATACCGAAGTTAGCTGCCCAAACACATTTGCAGCATTAAATCGAGCTTTGACTGCATCCTGGTTCTATCAATTTTAGAATTTACAATTATTTACCTTTTATTCCAATTCCATTTAGATAACAAAGTACAAGATTGAAGTGTTTGATGAAACCAAGGTTTTGTTGCATTCATTATCAACAAGGAGCAAGGTCAAATTGTGCTTTCAGTCTTTATTGCTTTAATTATCATTAAAGGATTTTTATTCATCTTTTTTTATCAATTGTCACAACTAACTACTATGCTACAGTAAATAACTGTTTGTTAGATAGGATCTTTATCAATTACTAAGTAATAAATAAAAGCTTAAATTTTTGGGGTTGTCCATGTGAATACATGTACCGTATACTCCTGAAAATAAGCACTTCTATGATGTTACTTTTTTAGTAATTTTCTTATTTATCACCTATATTTTTGTTATATTAACTGTCACATTCTTATAATAAAAGTATTATTTGTCGTGGGGTGCTTATTTTCGGAATATAAGGTATATCTTGTAAACTTTTATAAAATTGTATTTTGTCAAGAAGATTTAGTGATTTTTCACAAGGAATGTAATTGGGCTTCATATTTAAAGGTATTATTGAAAAGAGTCAATAAAGCATCAAATTTTGTTTCTTTTTTTGTTCATTTCATTAGGAAATCACTTATGTTGTTTCAATTAAAGTTTCCTTAATTGCACCCGAAAACTCTTAATCTTTCCGACGTGACCTGCAGGTGATCGATTTGTGTTACTTTGACATACTTATAAAAAATAATAAAATAAATTAGAACTAACCAAAATAAAATAGCCTCAAAATAGTGTAATCAAATACATATTTCGAAAATTTATTTTATCAATTTCCTTTTTTAGTAATAATTAACACATAAAAATAATAAAATGGATCATTGTTTTTGAACATCTGATACAGTCGATACAATATTTAGTATATTATTAGGTACAAAGTTTAGTACAATATTCTGACCTTTTGATGTATTTCGAGCATTCTGTAAACAGAGCATCTTTTAGTATAGTTGCTTTTAGTTCAAAACATTTAGCAATCATTAAATGTATATATAGGCGCTCTTAATCAAGTCAAGTTATAATAAAGTACAAAGCAATTGAAACAGTATTACCCCTTGCTTGTATTATTGAACTTCAGGATTTGTTGCTTTTACTAGAAAAAAGTCGTTATTGTGTCGATTCCTTTGTAGAATAGTAGTCTAACCATAAAGAAACCTTATTCGAGCATATGTCTTGTGACTTTGTGAAATTTATCCTGAGAAATTTATTGTTAAAAATTAAACATAATACCCTTTATTAATTGTGTAAACACCTCCGCCCCTTCCAAATAATTCTCTTTACAATAAAATAAATACTCACCTTTACTATTTACAGTAGTTACTGACACAATACCTTTAGAATCAAACCAAAAATATTCTTTACATCGAAGAAAACTTCAGTCTAATCTCCAAAACTTGTTAAATTCACACCTAATAGTCCGGATAGGTATGTCGTGTGGCTGTAGTGATTAAAATTCTATGTGTTATGTATAACACGTAGACATAACATTTGGTGTAACAAGAGAACAAAACATTCCCATATATATGGAATCAGCCTATTTTTATTGATACATTTATATGTATTTTATTTTTGTTTTTAAGTGATATTATATGATATTTTTAACTTTATTCCCTATAGGAAAATTGCATCAAGAATTTTCCGCAACGTGTCAGAAATTTTTCTGTATGCAACTGGGCGCATTTTCCATATAAAAAGCGTATGGAATTAACATATGGAATTTAAAAATCCCGTATGTCTTCCAGATATAAATTTCAGATAAATGCTGACACATATCATACACATTCATGATGATATCATACATATTCCATGCATATCTGTGATGCATTACTAGAGATGGGCAAATGCGCGCATAGTTCATCACTATGCGTACTATGCATACATGTAATACACATAATGATCTACATGTATTTATATAGTAATCAATCAAATACACAACGCGAATTCATAAAAACTAATGATGATTTTTATTTTCTATAACTATTATATACATTTATTTATCAATAAATATCACTATCACTTGATATTTCTAATATATCATCACTATTATCCGATATATTAAATTGTTCATTATCATTACCATCCTGATATTCACTTTCATTATTATTCTTTCATCACTCTCATTACCAGCATAATATTGATTGATGCTTGTTTCATTATTAATACTTTTTTTGACAATTTTTTTGATTATCTGGAGGAGTTTGTAATTTATAATTATTATAAATATAAACTAATTTAAAAACATGCTTACTATTTAACCAATTTCTTTTTTTATTATGAAATATTTGCAAAAGCTGATCAGTTATGCAGATGATGTTGAAATTGTTAAGATACGTTATGCTAATTTTGTTAATTCAGGCACTGCTTGTGCAAAATTTGCAATTTACCAAGTAATTGAATCAATATTATCAATGCTAATATATTACTAAAAAGATCTGATTTTACTTTGTATTGCATATGTTGACTTCCAGATGAATTGGCATTGAGTGAGCAATTTCTGGATTTTCAAAGCTCATACCAAAAAATGATCGCTTAACTTCAATTGAGGTATTTGGACATACACGCAGATGTGACTTACACCAATTTACTGAATTATTGCATTAATATTTGGGACTTTCACAGTATTTACATTCTGCATGCTTTGTTGAAATCTAGCAATATGACCAATTTGATTAAATGTTCCCATATAGAACTTCAACAATAAAGATGTAGATATTTATGATTATCATTATACGTATGTTCTGTATCGGTATAAATGCGTTTGTTTATCATTATTTATTGAGTACAAATGCCTTAATTGGTGATGATTTATGAACTTAACCATATGCATAAATGTGTATGGCATTTACGATATCGGTTAGTAACTATGCGCATAATGCGCATAATGCGCATAGACACATCTCTATACGTTATACTTCCATCTTCAGTGTGTTTTTTATGAAATCATCTTTTGGTTAATTCAAGTAACTTTCACAGACAATGTTCCAATCATGTATTTCATTTTATAATATTTACATGAACTCGATATAGCAGACGAAAAAATTTTCAAAAAATCTGTGCTCAATCCGTTATATCATGGCTTTAAATAAAAGCATAAACGAACAAAAAAATAATAGTAAAAAATAAAGGTAATGTTTGATCGTTATAGAATATTTCATAGTCAAGATGGTGGGACAAATGCACATTGTCGAAAAGTCGTTTTTTTCCTTGAAATACAAGAAAATCAGCTCTGCAACACGCAGATTGATTGGCACTTGGCGTATTTGTATTTCACATCTTTTTTTTTGACCGCTCCTTAAAAAGTAAACTAATGAATGGAATTTAATTCATTTATTTCTTACCTAATTTGCATTTATCGTTTAATCTTGTAATATTATGGTATTTAAACATGTTATTATTTCTATGATGTGAATGAAAAAATTTTTTGTCTATTAAATAGAATATGCGCATATACATGTACATGTACTACGAATATGCATGAATGAGTTTTATAATTGTGATAATGGTTCTTGTAAATATGTACCGGCATCGAATTTTCGCAAAATAACGCCCAAAAATGCAGTTTATTATTGTACGTAAATTTGCGTTATTTTCGGAATGAAATCATGTATGCTATTTTGAAAGGATACGATTTTCGAAATATGGCAAATCATTCTTTCCATAAATGAAGCAGTACACTTTTTTATATAAAGCCATTCCTTTCCTCAACTTTCTATGAAATCAATAATTCAATATGTTTGATAATATACCAATAATAGACAAATATGAAGTAGCGATTGTTGGGTCTGGACCAGTGGGATGCACCTTTGCTCGCAAGATTATTGACGCAGGCTATAGCGTCATCATGGTAGAGGCTGGTGCAAAAGAGTCAGATCCTCC